TGTGCTCCCCTTGCTTGAAGCATCTTATATTCATCAGAATCCCAATACTGCAGTAGCTAAGACCATAAATGAGGTGGCATCCAACATGGGATATAAGATGGGTCCTTCACCCACTTCAACCTCACATCCCTCATATTGTCACTCCATCTATGCCTCATACAATTTATAAATGCATTTCGTACATGGAGATTATCTGCACGGTCCCATTGGTAAAGTGTCTACAAAATAAAAAATGAACAATATTAAATGTGTAAAAATAAATAAATTCTAGTTAAGTAATTAAATTATTTATTTTATTAAAAATTGCTAAATCCATTCATTTTATTTAATTTGCTAAAATTAAATCTTACTTTGAAACAAGCGTAAATTTCATTAATCTTGTTGTTGGGGACACGATCAAATGTGAAAAATGGGCCATCAAAACGTGACTTCCATAAGGCAGTGATAGCTCGAGGAATGGATGGATCAGCAAACTGAAGCTTATCATCAGTAAGTTTAACCCAGGTCCTACTCTCTCTATTCTCTGGAGGGCATAGACCTTTCAAATTCCGACCTCATCCTTTTCTCCCCTTCAAGGATGAAGGGCCCTCAATATCATGATCAGATGTCAAATGATCCATATCCTCAATCAATGGATCACATCTCGTCTGCTCTATATCATGAGCTATGCCACTATTAGAGAACACCTATGGCTGATCACGATTACGTTGCCCCTGGGATCCTGAGGAAGAAGATCTCCTCCTAGCCGAACCTGCCGGATTTCCAGACATCCTGAAAGAGGAATAACAAAATAGTTATTAATACCGAGGGCAAATAATGAATAATAAATTTAGAACATTCATACAATGATGCTATTTTAAATGAAAAATATACAACTTGATAAAACAATATATATATAAAAAAATTTCAATACATATATTTAATGAGTAATAATATATGATAACAAATATTTCAATCAATCATCGCTATCATCCTCCTCATCAATGCTATCACTACTATTTCCTAAAGTTTCTGAATCTTTTTCTTCTCTATAGTCCTCATCTTCTTCGGATGTATCAGCATTAACCTCAACTTCTGTAACACCTTCTGCATGGAGTCGAAGTGATTAGTACGCAGCTAAATCTGTAGCTAATGAAGAGCCTTGCATTATGGGGGGGTCATCATCTTGAAAAATGTCATCAATCTCTGCTGAAGATGAGGTTGATGAGGTGTCAATAAGATGTCTAGATTTTATTTTACATGCTGCGAACCATCCCCGAGTAATTCTATCTGTACCCGGATATGGAGTATAATAAACTTGTTGTGCTTGACCAGCAAGGCAAAATGGCTCTCCAGTTGAAAGTTGGAAGCTTGGATTGACATCAACAATTCCGTGTTCAACATCCACGCGTATTCCCCGTCTCGTGTGATACCAATCACAATTGAATAAGACTACAGTCTCCTGTCGGCCTGAGTGTCCATAATATAATAACTCGATAATCTCTTTTAAGACACCATAGTAATCAATTTCATCTTCAGAAGTGATGGTGGTTCCTTTAACACAAACACCACAGTTATATGTCTTTCTAGTCATAGTATACTCTTCAGTCAAAAATTTAAAGCCGTTTGCATAGAACCCATTATAAACATTCACTTGAGAGGTTGGGCCAATTGCAAGATGGATAAGTTGTTCACTAATTTCATATTGGCCACCAAGCACCTATACATTAAACAATTTTTATTTTAGTAAAATTTAATATATAATTACAAATTTGAGAAATTAGTAATTTGTTACCATGTTTTTAAACCATT